GATAACGGTGGCAATATGAGGCTCTCGGACACGTAAATGCTCATATCCATTCCGGTGCCTTCAGGCCAGATGGGCGATATCTTGTCAGGCTGGTATAGGTAGTTTTGGACATCATTCTGGTAGTAGCGGTTTTCGAAGCTTCCCGCCGGGGGTGCCGACAAGATCGCGCCGGTTGCTTTGTCGACTTGCGTCGCGCTTTGCTGGTTGCCAGTGAAGAGCTCTGCAGCGCTGTTAGGGGAAGCAATCGAATATCCAAGGTGGGAGGCTCAATTACTGAACGCGCTTTGCACGGCGAAGAAGATCAGGATACCATTGACGGCAGGCCGGATGTTGTCCTGAGGCCAGAGTCAGTGATGGTCCTCGGAAAGCAATGCGCAAACAAGCACAGGAAACAGACCATAAAACTGGGCGCCTCCTGAGCCTGAGCACCCTGTCGTTGCGGGGCCGACATGGTAGGGTGGTGTTGATCGGATTATATCTGTAGATGTGGCTTCAGAAGCAGAGGTCACGGTGGATATGGATCGGACCCCTTTGCTCGCATGGGTCGCACGGTGGCCAAGGCGTTAAGCCTTATCGGGAAAATTTCCACGTCGCACAGCTTGGAATATGCACAAAATGCAAACTCAATTGTGTCAATTGTGGGCTAAACTGACAGCATTTCTCCGTGCATCAGCTTGCTTTTGTGGCAATTGGACGATTTACAGGCTTTCGCTCGGGTCTGTGTCAAGTATGTAGGAAACGCCATATTTGATGGCTGCAGCTGCAGGCGTGTTTTCGTCCAAAGCAGCAGGTGTTTCTCTCTGGCTGCGGACTTTTCAGTAACGGGACTCGAAATTGCACGAGAACGAAAGGTCTAAGGTCGTTTGTCCACGATATTCACGACAGGGCAGATACATGAATTAACTATTGCCCAAACGACCCAGCTCGCAAACAAAGAACGCAAACAGAGAACGAAAACTTTCTCGGCTTTCTCGCAAGGTCTTCCACGCCGAGATCTTCACGAAGCCCGCTTCGGCGCTGAATGTTGGACGCTATGTGTCCTCGTACGCAGTAGGATGAATCAACAACCGAGTGCACGGCTATGACGTCGGAATCTGTACCCCTCCATTGAGAGCAGTGTTCTCAGTAGCCGGCCCAAACAGCCGGACGGGCTGGGCGGGCTGCTTTGCACAGCCAGCCCGGCCAGCTTTTCAGATCAGCCAGCCGGGCGGCCGCCGGGCTGCCAAATTGCACCACGAGTGATTTTTTGTGAAGTTCTCAAAAACCCCGCTCACCCCGCGGCGCGAATCGGGACCATCGCCCGCCCGGCAGCATACATACAATGCTCGGTTGAAGATACAAATACTCGAGGCCCTGGAGTGCCTTCGCCCAATGCGCTGCCGGGTTAAAAGCGGTTGATGGATGCTTTACACCGTGTTAGGATTGTGTCATAATAATTGTTGTATTGACTTTAATTCACTCACTTCGCGTTGCGGTGGTCGTGTAGCGAGCGCAGAGGGGCCGAGTCGCAGCGGGTGGCGGTGGGCCGCCCACCGCCGAAACAGCCAGCCGAAACCGCCCGACGGGCGGGCTGGACCCTGATTGAGAACAGCTGGACTTCATCGTCTACATAACCAACGACAACTCGTCATCTCCCAACCCTCGCAAAATCAGTCACCAACACCACAATGTCCTCCTCTTCGAAAACCGAGTCATTCACCGTTTGCGTCTTCTGCGGCGCCAACCCCGGTGCCTCGCCGCAGTACACCGCGGCAGCGCAGGACCTAGCCAAGCTCCTGCACAAGAACAACTGGACCCTCGTTTATGGTGGCGGAACCGTGGGGCTGATGGGAACGCTGGCGCGCACGCTGGTTTCGCTTTCGGGTCCTAATGCCGTCCACGGTATCATTCCGCGGGCGCTCATAAAGTTTGAGCAAGGCGGCGCGATACCGAAGACGGAGGAGTACGGCACCACCACCGTCGTCGAGGACATGCACGCGAGAAAGGCGATGATGGGGAAGCTTAGCAATGCCTTTGTGGCTATGCCTGGGTGAGTATTGGCCTGCCGTACACCGAGAGGATGAGGTCTATGGAGATGCTGATCGTGGTGACAGTGGCTTTGGAACTATGGAAGAGCTGTTTGAAATCGTCACCTGGAACCAGCTGGGAATTCATGATTGCCCGATTGTCGTTTTAAATGTGGGAGGTTTCTACGATGGCCTCCTGGGTTGGGTGAAGAAGGCTATCCAGGAGGGCTTCATCAAGGAGAATATGGAGGGAATCCTTGTGGAGGCGAAGTCTGTGGACGAGGTCGAGGATCTGATACGCAGCTACAAGCCGGCGCAGGGACGGTTCGACTTGAACTGGAATGCTGAGGGTAAGGATTAAGTTGGGGTAGAATGTTTTCGCATGCTTGTCATTTGTGGCGTTCGGATTTGCAGTGTACGTTACTTGATCGTCTGACTACACTATTCTAGACTTCTTCTGCTTTCTTTCATGGATTGATTGGGCACCCGGGTGTTGGTTTCTTTGCTCGGTTGGACCTTTTGTTTGTTCGGTAGACAGGTGTTCAAATTCTGCGGAACAGCTGTCGAAACTTCATTACCATCCCAATGTCGCTCGTGAAATCGTGGACGCCATCCAGCCATCAAACATCCCTTGTTTTTCGCCGCGGATATCTACTGTTTACGCGTCGACCTCCATCGAGTCTCCTCCCTCGCCGCTGCCACTAGCACCCGCCGGGGCCGCTGCAGCCTGAGCTCCCCTAGATCCACGGCTGCTCTGCGTGCTTCCCAGCTTCTCCAACCAGTCCGCGACCTCCTCGCCATCGTAGAGCTTGAACTTCTCTCCCTCGCCCACAATAGCTAGCGACACATTAGCAGTGGTAAGCTCTTTATCCTGTGCCAAGCTATCTCTCAGGGCGCGAAGACCATGCAACACGAGCTCCTCCCTGCTAGCATCGGGGAAAGCCTCGAAGTTCCTCTCCAAGTACGTCCTTGCACTCTGGCTCCTGGCCCCGATAGCAGCACCACGGTACTCCAGCACCATTCCCGAAGGCTGGAACTCCCACAGGTGGGGACCGGTCTCGTCGACGCCAGCAACCAGCAGTCCGACACCATAGGGTCTGCGGCCGTAGTGCTGAGTGTTGACCTGCGCCTTGTCGGCAATGGCGTTGACCACGCGCGCAATCGGGACAGGGCGGTTGTAGAGCAGTCGGGAGGACATGGATTGCTGGCGCATGAAGTTGGAAAGGACACGAGCGTCGGGGGCGAGGCCGGCGAGAGCTACTCCCAGGTGCGTGTCGATGCCGATGATCTTTTTCTGGTAGGAACCGAGCTCTTCGGCGTTTCTCTGAAGGTCGACCATCGAGATCAGCATCAAACAATCGACAGATCAAAACAATGGGTACGGGGGCGGTACCTTGAGAGCTACCAGCACCGCATGCGTCTTGCTGACCAGTCCCACAGCCGCGGAACCCTGCTTGATGGCTTCTAGAGCATATTCGACCTGAAAGATTCGGCCTTGGGGAGAGCTATCGGCGCGGATCTCATCAGTTTATCTCGCGGATTTTGATGGGTTTGGGCCGGCGGGGACGTACAAGGTGACAGAGTCGTTATCGTAGTTGTTCCGAAACATCTCGCGGGATGATTATAGGGATGTTTGGATGGATGGGAGGTGATGGAATTGCTGGACTTTGGTGATGGTGGGGGGATAGTATCCAGAGAGCTTGAGGCTCAGCTGAACGCGGACAAGGGTCAACGGTATGAGAGATGCGGAGAAGGAAATAGTTGAGCACTAAAAAATCATCCAGACAAGACAGACAGCATCGAGAAACTCATCATCGAGAATCTGTGTAAAATCAAAGATCCGATACATTTTAAGTGCCTACGAATCCGCTTGGCAGTGGTTGCTTCATTCCCGACAATTGCAGCGGCGTCATCTTGCTTGCCTGCGACTAAGCGCCTCCCAGCTCCACGAACGATCAGCCTCGAAGCAACGACACCACCACCATCGCCGACGACGACCACGAAACAGCTGCGCATCCCTCCCTCGACCCAACATCGCCCTTATTAATTACTACACTTGCTGAAATATCTTCTTCATGGCCGGTTTAAAAACAATAATCGTTCTCTCCTTCGTGCGTCTCCTCCCCCCCCCCCCCGCGGCGCACAGAGCTAACTTTGCGGGGAACGGCATCTAGATTCTCGCGATCGGCTTCCTGCTCGTGATTCTATCATCAGCCCTATTCGGAAACTACTTCCCGCTGCTGGTGGTGGCCACTTTCGTGATCGCACCTCTACCGAACGCCATCTGTTCGCGCTGCGCGAACCCGGATGACTTCATCGAGGAGGGCAGCAGCAGCGGATTCGTGGACTTGGGGAGGTTCTTTACTGGTTTCTTGGTGGTTATGGGAATTGGTCAGTCGCATATCCTCGAGAAGAAAGACGGTGGTCTGGGCGCGCGCGGGAGCTTTTTGGTGCCCCGCTTCCCCCATACTCGCTGGCTTTTTTTTTCTTTTTTCTTTTCTTTTTTGTGTTTTTGCTTTTGCTAAGAACCGCTCGCAGCTCTCCCCATCATGTTTGCCCACTGCGGAATCATCCAAGTCCCTGCTATGATCATGTCCATCATCGGCGGTCTGCTCATCTACGGCACCATCATCTCCTTCACCATGTTCTTCCAGGAGTCCGAAGACTTCTAATCCCCACGAATCTGCACCGACCTCTCGCGTCGCGGCGCAGATAGAGAGAGAGAGTTGTATATTACCCGGGAGAGTCGGTGTAAGGGAAGGTTGGGGGTAAGGGAGCTAAGAACGGCCACCGTCTTTTGGGTTCTTGCGTATTGATTTGGGACTGTTTCTTTTTTGCTTGATTTCGGGATTTCAGGTTTCGTGGCTGCGTTGAATCATCGAGCGTAATGGAGTTGGTTCTTGATCATGAATTATTTCTGTTTTCCCTTTGCTGTTTGCAACGGAAGGAGACGGTTTTTGATAAGTGTCGGAAGGAGCAGAAGTCCGTAATTCGGTCTGGTTGGCTCAGTTGGTAGAGCGTCGGTCTCATATGCAATCATATGACTTCCACCCAGTGGCAGCAATCCGAAGATCGTGAGTTCGAGCCTCACACCGGACAGGCATTTCTTTTTGTACTTCGAGGCCCCAGTTTTTGTGGTTTCTTCGCCGATGTGCGAGCCGGAACTGTGATGAGCGGTTGGCTGAGGTGTAGATGTGTGCTGTTGACGGGTGACCCGATTCTAAGATTGTGAGTCTCGTCGGTGGGTTTGCTTTCACTTTTTCGTACAGTGGCGATCAATCTAAAAGGGAGTGGACTCTCGGAGGCCAACCTTAGAGTACAGACATCGACATTCGACACAAGCCAGCCACCCAGTTGAAGAGGGCCAGTTTGGGAGCAACGGAAGCCCGTAATCATCGTCGGTAGTGACGGACTCAAAAAGCATACGGTGCAGCTGGGGTAGGGAAGAAATCTCGGGTATGCTAACAGCCAAATTCTCAATGCTGGTGAGGCGGCGTCAGGACAATCTTTCCTTCCGACGGCGACCTCGTCCGGAGACCCGCATGAAGATACTGCAGAAAACGTGCCAAGTTGTCGGCTGTTCGACCCCGGCAGTTTCACGATACTGTAGAGTTGGGTGAGCGGTGTCTGGGGAGAAGACAAGCTGACAGCAGCCTCTTGCGAGGTCTGTCTATTCAACTACATACAAATGCAAGCGCAATTTGATTTCATTCCTTCACATCACGCCAACGGCCTAATGCGAAAAAAAAAAAAAAAAAAAAGACCTGTCAGACCTCCATCGCCACCCACCCTCGTTTCCACCCCGAGAGGCATACAGAAACTCAGGTCGAGATCATCACCACCCGTCCCGAAGGACAGGCAAAAAAGGCTTCACTCTTGGGCGGCGAGGATATCGATCATCAACCAGGTTGGAGATTAATCTGTGGCTCTTGTAAAGAGTTCAGATGAGACGATTTACTATAGAAATGATCCCTTGGAGAATGTTAGCATTTGTGACGATATAACTTGGTGGTAAAGTTGGGGGCTCCTTACTATGAAGTAAAGTCGACATGAAGAAGAAAGGAAGGGAAGGAGGAAGACCGCCTTTTATGGTGGTTTGGCCCGCTAGCGTCGGCAAAAAACCTTCACGTGACCTATTGCTTTTCTCCTCAAAGCACCCAGGGCTTGGGGCATGACGCCACTCTTTCACTGGTGTAACCTCTCACCCTCGGAATCCTGAGATCGGCAGCAAGTGAGGCGTAGCTGCTGTGCTGCTTGCCTCTCTTCCCCGCACCACACCCACCTGCGCGCGGTGAACAGGGTGCCCAACGGCCACTTCATATATTACACGTCGTCCTACTTACTTCCCTATATACCTCTGTACAGCTCATCTCCCCATCTCTCACATTCGAAAGTCCGGGGCGCTCCTCGAGAATCCCGCGACCTCCGTCGCACACGACCAATATCCTCTTTCCTTTCACCAAACAGTGTATTCTCGATGGCTACAGCCGCCGACGACATCGCGGTAAGCACAGCCTGGCCCGCCCGCACCCAACACAGCCAGTTCTAAACATTTCATTCACCTTCAGAAACCCGATGACGATGCCAACCTGACAACAGCATCAACAACTGCCAATGCAAACCAGACATTAACGCTTCTCTCTCTCCCACCCGAACTGCTGGTCTACCTCGCGGGTCACCTGCACTCCTCGCAAGACTACCTGTCGCTGTCTTCCACGTCTCGGCAGCTGCGGCGCTGTTGCCATTCGCTGCAACCCCGTGCGTTACGGGTCTTGATGGAGCGCACACTCGCGCAAGATCTCGAAGCCGTCGTGGCGGAGCAATACGTCGCTTCGCTGCAGAGCTGCAAGTTTTGCAAGTGGTACTTCGCGGACGAAGAGAACCGGCAGAAATACCGTGAAACCAATCCCACGCGTCGATACAACCTGATATTGAGCCATGAGACCAAACATGTGTGCGGTGGATGCCTGACGTTGTCGCTGGCGCTCAAGTATTGCTGGTATCCGTGGTTTGCATGCGAGGGGGCGCAGGAGCTGAGGGGAAGCTACCTCGCTGCCATACAGGCGAGGGTCGCGGATACCGAGGGTTATTCCCACATCTGAGTGAAGCTAAATAGCTACCCTGAAGGTGATGACTGCTGTTATGCGTGTGAATGAAAACAAGACGGTCGTCTCTGGAGTTGGAGTTGGGAGTTGTGGCGGATATGTTTTTTTTTTTTTTTTTTTTTTTTTTTTTTTCTCGTTCAATGCTTGATTTGGTTGGGCTTTTTTAATCGGGCATCTTTTTTTTTGTCCTTGTCCTTTGTTTGTCCTTTTTTTTTGCCTTTTTTTGTCTTTTTTCTTTCCTCCCGGATATATCTTCATACCACTAGGCCGTTTGTCATGATGTGCAATTCAGTTGTCTGTTTACTCTGCTGATGGATCGTGATGTTCAGGCAGATGTTGTCGTGTCGGGTTATTTCGTCTTCTGCGCTATCGGGGAGAAAATATAAACTATTAGTTCCAGCTTGTCAGCGGGAAGGCCGTTCCAACTGCTGTAGTACCTCATTTCATAGGCTCTCACCCGCTCACAATTCAGGTTTTTGAGTTACTTTTGGATGTCATGATTCCTTGGAGAAAAGTCGCAAGAGATGCGTTTCATGTTGACCGACCCAAGGCAAAGCAAAACCCGAATCTATTATTCGCCCACCTAAGCCCATAGATACAAACAAGCAGACCCAGAATAAGAAAATGGAAAAACTTTTGACACCCCAGAAAAAACAAGAAAAAAAACCCCCCGTGGTAAATAACATCATGTCAAACTGGAATACCTCTATTGACTGATAACTTTAGAGCTTCTCTCCCTCAGCTCCTCCATCAGCCTGTCAATCCCCTCCATATCCTGGGCATCCAGCTCCTCCCTCCCCGCCTTCAACTCAGCCGGCAGGGCGTCCATCGCCTGCTGCAAAGCCGGCCCTGAATTACGGATGGCCGAGCTAAGCGCATACACGGCCTTCCTTCTAACATCCGAAGCGGGGTCCTTCAACATCATATCGACCAACTTCGGCACGCCGCCATGGCTGAGAAAGGCCTGCTGGCTCTTTTCGTTATTCTGGACGGCGGTTCCGCAGCACCAGGCGGCCATACGGCGCAGCTTATCGTCGGGATTCGAGAGCTGCGCAAGCAACGGCGGCCACAACTTGAGGTTCTCGATGTTGTTCGCGTTGTCGAGCTGCTCGACCAACATCTCGAAGTTGTCGAACGCTGTCTCTTTGTCCGCCGCGGACACCGCCGGGTCCTCGATCGCCGCCATCGCCTCCTTCATCAGCTCCGCGTCGCTCTTTTGGTTGCCGAAGAGCTGCGCTAGCAGCGCAGGGTTCTAAGAAAATTAGCTTGTGCCTCCCCCCCCCGCCCCACCAAGCGCGCGACGGGTAACATACCAGCTCTGTCTTCTTTTCGCCTTCGGTCGGGTTCGAGTTCTCGATTCCCCATGCGAGGAGGTTGCCAAGGTTGGACATTATGGCGCGGATGGTATGTGGACGGCTGTGGTGGTGGTTTGCGGAGTCGCGGGTTCGTCGTTCGTGTTGGTGGGGCGTCGCAACTTTTGTAGACCAGACGTCAGAATGCACGAGAAGATGGTGGATGCGGGTGGAACTAGGTACTTAAGTACACAAGTGATTAGTTACAAGTAGATAGAAGCTCTGCCTATATCCCCGCTACGTATGAGAATAGATTATAAGCCTGGGTCCCGACAATTTTGTACTAGTATGGGAAATAAAAATGCTTTTCTCTTAAGTATTTTGAGGGAGCTCTCGGGTAGATACCCCATCACAGCCAAACCCATGGCCGTGAAAGAGTTGCAATTGTATAGAGAAAGCCTGAGCTGTGCAGAGGACTTTCTGGGCGTGCTTATTACCGCTTAACGCCCTGATGGTAGCAGCGTGTCTAGAGTTCAAAGATAATGTTGTGCGCTAACTTCAGAGTGATATACTGTGGTGCACTCCGACAGATTCTCCCTTCCGCAGTACTCCTCAAGGCTACCTTCCGACTCCTTGCTACAAGTGTCACACCTCACATAACCTTAAACAAACAGGGGTCATAACTAGCGAAGATAACTGCTTTCTTGGATAGGGAAGAGGGGCCAAATACATTGAGTCTCGTCTTGGATAGTGGAAGACGGTTCCCTCAAGTGAAGGGCTGCCTCTTTAGGGTGATTGGTATCTGGATACTTGCACACAGTCCCATGCTTCAACCTGGCATGCTATGAATGTGGGTGGTGATAAAAAACCGAGTTCCAGCCCAAAGCACAGAAAGAGCCTTGACACAATACCAAAGCCGTGCTTCAATGTTTCATTCAATCACCTTGGAGAATTCGGAAGTTTTTCCAGAGGGGTGTATAAAAAAAAACATGCCAAATTTAATGCCTTGCCCTTCAGTCCCACGGGAACACCCGCGATGGTGGGCCATCCAACACTCCAGTGCGTTTGCACGTTAATTGTGTACATCCTCCTTTTCCTTTCCTTTCCTCTCCTTTCTTTGATAGGCGCCCCGTTCCGCTTGAGGAGGCTCGCAACGATATCGATCGAGTTGCAGCTGTGACGTCTGCCGGTGAGCTGTTATCGAGCGAGTGACACTCTATGAATCTCCTTAAAAAAATAGACTGTGCGATAAAAACTCACGGGAACAATCAATCCCCATGAGAAAGCCCCAAGAATTGAGGCCGCCCCCCACCCCAGCGGTTCCAATTATTTTATACCACTGCACCACCGAGGCTTTTTTGCATTTGCTTGAAGTCACACGGAATCATCATGAACTGCTTGGAGAAAAAAAAAAAACTTGAAGCTACGAAAGTGCCATTGTAATCATGCCGCGCCAGGCAAATTCAAAAAGATGGTGTGTCAACTCCTCGCCGTGTACGTGCAGGGGGGGGGGGCAAGGGAATCATTTCGCACGAAAGCTTGGGGGCATCCTAATCATTAACCTTATATAATAACGCACGAGGATGATGCTCTTCCCCTCTGATTCTTCTTTCCTAGTGATTTCCTGACAGCCCTGCAAGTCACCGTGGACTCATAAGTCGCGAGGAATTTGTGGTTCGGTGCCATTAAGGGCGGCCGCGAC